ATCCATGTGTAGTAACTACGGCAAAGTGCTAGTTATAATTGGGTCCGGATGGCTTCCATGACATCCTTCCACAGGACACAGAAATATGGACGCCACCTCCCGCAATACGGGTGATTGTGTGCTAATTATGCTCTTTCCTAAGCATTTAACTTGATCCTCATCTTACCGCTAACCCCACCCCTGATTAGGATAATTACTTCAACCCTTACATTAAATTCCACAACCTCTTTCTCTGGAATTTAGGGTAAAGCCACCAGTATTATGGGTGGCCACTGGTTCCATATCCTGACGCTGGGGGCCATATAAGTCACCCATAACTTATTCATATTCGAATAATTGAAACAGCAACTCCTTCGTCCATATATATTCTTTACAGTTAAAGGATCGAGGGCTTCACATACTTTATTCAGTGCCGCAGCGCCACGAGCACTTCTACAGAGTCCAGTTCAAATCTCACGGAATTTCGACGAAAGATTACTCAAGCCGATTTTCAAATGCAATGAATTTCCATGATGCGCCCAATATTTTCTTCAGAAATAACAGATTGCCAATAGAAGTGAATATGCACCCACTGGAACAAGAGTTCTATTTTCCAGTCGTCGCATCTTCTTTTTCTTCCAATAACAGATTTGCCAGTAGCTGAAAGTATCTTAGACAATCGCATCCAGTTTAAAACCAATATATGCACTGGGAAACCTGTTTGCGCGATTATTAGTTGTTGACGCTTGTACGCCTAATTACGTCACCTCAACTAGATTTCACAACGCGCAACCCTGATTTCGGTGTCACTGGTGGCTGCGGTTAGGCGCACTTGATTGGACAAGTGCACTAAACAACAACACTGCAGTTTCCGATTTTGCCTAATTAATTCTGATATTCTTCGAAGTCAAATGCCGGTCCCCAAGTCACCCTGTTAAAATCACGCATTACCCGGAGGATTTATTCGAAAAACCACTATGAGACACGCAAATCTGCCGTCCGCGTGGAGCTAAACAGCTAAGTTGTCCTCTTGAGCAGAATAAGGTGGGGAAATATGCACTAAAGTCCCTGAGCTCTCAAACAAATGCCTGTATCTGTGCTTTTTGAAAAAAACCTGCGTCCACTTTATGCACCTCTACTGATTAAACAATTCAAAAACTCCAGAGTGTCCTTAAATAGCTTCAAAAGAACGACGAGACATTCCAGCACATCTAGGAGTTTTCGCACTAGAGTGGTACATTTTAGAATAGCCGCAGCAAATGACAGAAGGTCAAAAAACTATAGCAGGGGAGCGTTAAATAAGCCCTTCGGGCAACCGCCTGTCATGGAGGACTTACCGCCTCGAAGGGGGCTCCTTGGGTTTGGGTGGAATCGGTGGAACTGGGAGAGGAGCTGGTTCGGCTGCCCGTTGCTCTACC